AAACGGATTTAAGCAAAATATAACCAGATTCTGTAAGTTTTGAGATTATGTCTCAATCTCTGTCTATCAGAAAAATGCGCTTAATAAATCCCTGACTATCGCAACTTGCATCAATATTTACAATAAATCGACTTGCACATAGCGTGCGTTTAGTATTAAAAAATATTTGTAAAGGAAAATAAAAAAATATGGCAATTTGTGGCCTACTAAAAATGTGTCATACACGATCATGCCGTGTCATTATGTAACCTATTCACAACACCGCTGTTCATACTTAATATGATTGAATACTCTTTTTCTTTGGCGCGCGCGTTTACTGTGTAAAAAAAATAAGTAAATATGCGTTAAGCTGTTCTATTTTCATAATCGTCATAACAAAACAAAAGGTTGTATGAACAGAAAAAAGTATGAAAGATTGAAATCTCTTGAATGGAGTTAGAGTAACAAAGTCTTTTTAATTTTCTCTCTAGCATTCAAATTTCTTGCTGCGGTCCAACAGCGCGAGAACAATTAGACTGAACGAATGGCAAAAAACAGAACCCAAAGAAAACGAAATAGACCAACTGACACACATTTCTCGTGTTGTTCCTCACTTCTTAGTCTAGCGATCATTAATTTGCGTTTTATTTCTGACCTCCATGGAGTCATTTATCGATGACGTCTTATATATAATAAATTTTGTCATGTAAGATAAAGTTGAGAATTAGAATCCAATTTCCTACTCACGTAATTTATGAATGACCCCTTATGACTCTTGCTGGCTCATTCCATGATCATGACTTAAATCTTGATTAATTTTGGAAGAGGAAAAACTTTCTTTGCTGTAATTTTTTTGGGTCTACATTTAATAATAATTATTTTCCCATCGACAAATTGCACGATTACAGCCATTATGGACACAATGTGGAGAAATTTTCATACATTCATTCTCTTATCAAAATATCTTTTAAACGCAAAATTTTACGGCTTCTTTTGCTTTACAAAAAAAAAAACTCATAATTTTTGCGAATTTAAATTAATGAGCAGCTTCCGGGTCAATTACATTCGTCATTTTCATATAAATACGGAAAATAAACAAATTTCATGGCATTTTAGCAAATAATTGTAAATGAGAAGCATTTACATGCATTTTCGAATTAGTGACTTAATGTATACACACAGCTTTTTGTGTTAAAAATTTGTAATGTTTTACTGTGAAATAATACATTTTTTTGATGCTTAATTTAAAAACTTTTCATTTAATGTCCATTCGAATTGATTGTGAAAATTGTTTCATTTTAGTTTTCGACTGGGAAAATTGTTTCTTTGTAAATATGAGTTAAGCATTGACGTGCAGTGAAAAGTGAATTATAATTTGGCTTCATAGGTACAGATATTTTAATCGCATTAGTTTTTCGAAATATTTTTTGGCTGCTTTATTATTTGAACTTCGTTTTCGGAGGAATTCATGAAAATTCAAGCATATGAAAATAAATTTTCAGCCCTGATTTCCACTCAAAAACTTCAATTTTATACAACTTCAATGCTCTAGATACTAACTTGAAGCTTACTTATCTCATTTCATTACAAAATGTCCGATAACCATCATAATTAATCTTACTCATTACGTATTATCCTACATTGTTGTAAACATTTCATAAGAAAGTTCTGCCTTTTTTTCAATCCTAATCACTGTTATTTAAATCATGACAGAGTTATGACGAATTTTGGTACAAAAAATTTTCCTCTCAAAGTAAAGCAACTCAAAATATTTTATTCAACCAACTCTGATCTTCATTTTTTATTCATACAAAGAAAATAAGCACCATAAAGCAGTTTACAGAAAGTATACAAAACCTTGAATTATTTTAAATCACTTCTTACAAGCAATTTGTTTATTGTCGTTTGCAAGCTAATTTACCTACATTATTGTCGCGCGCGAGATTATTAGACTCATTTAAGTAATGTGCTTGTTGTCAGTCGAGTCTTTACATGCTCATGTTGAGAAAATTGTCTGTTCTTAAAAATATTACTAGGGGGTCCGTAGAGAATATCTTATTGTAAAATGTAAATTAAAGAAGTTTCTATGGAAAAATGATTTTGGTTTTTTTTAGACTTCCTGTAATTCCTCTTTTTTTTGTCTACACTCTACGACGATTTTCATAATATTTTCGTGCCTTTTAAAAAGCTTTTTTCATTCGCATTTAAGGAGATTTGTATTTTAGATGGCATTCATACCATCTGTCACTTTCACTTATAGTCTCAGTCTCAGTATCTCAGGAATGCCTGCATATATTATTACATTATGGCATATGTATATTGGCTGCCTTCTTGTTGAAAAGCTACACAAATGAGCGAAGTAGCAACAAAAAAAAAATGGGAAAGGTAAGAAGAAGAAATATCTCGATTGTGAATTTTGAAATTTTTTTGGTCCTCTATTTATTATTTTGTTCAGTTTCAATGTTATAATTAAGAGTCAATTTTGTGTGTGATCAGAAAAAAAAATGAGTGAGAGATAAGTGAAAGTGAAATGTTTATATACACGAGATAAATCATCACATACACACATATAAACTTGAAGAGATGACGATGTTAATCAATATGATATAGACGCAAATGAGACAGTATGAAATTTACCTTTATATTCAGCATCAGACTGAATTAAAAAAAATAATAAAACGTGAAATGTAAATTAAAGAAAATTTCACTCTTAATTGATGGAAGCACCTTTTACTGACTCCGCTTTATGCTCGATTGAATATTAATGACTAACTGCAAATGATTTTCAATAAAAAGAGTGATCGATGAATGTTCGGGAAAATGTTTGTCAGACGAAAATTATAAAATAAATTGAGAGATAAATGCTGGATATTTAAAAATCCATTTTGTCTTAATGTTGGTAATTGTATTTTGATGCTTTGCAAAAATTTTCAGGAGATGATTATGATAATTTTTAATGTAAAGATAGATATTGTTTGAAAATAAATGAATTTGTGGTAAAAAACAATAAAATATTCATAATTTAAAATATTTATAGCCTGTGGGTATTGCAATATATTGAAAGCTGATATTTAATATGATGGACGATTTTTGTAGAAGTATGATAGGGTTTGGAAGAGCCTATTGGCACATATTGCAATAATCTTTAAAAAATATGTCTAATTTTACATTATGCATAAAAGTAATTAATTAATTGATGGGGTGGATTTCAATGTCATTTGTTAAGCATTTTCATGACGAAATGATTTAATTTTTCTCGAAAACTTGTGGCATTTTGATAAGGCAAGCAAATGAGGCTTTAAGGTTTTAAAATTTGAGTAAGATGATCGTCTGTTTGATTGTTGAAATAAGATAGTCAAATATGGATAAAGTAATAAATAAATGTTTGATGAACTTTTAGGTGCTTGAAAATATTTGATTCAAAATTTCAAAATAAATTCAAGGTTATGAGTGGATTGCATTTTGTGGGTCACCATTATAATCAGAGTCCTCACAAAAAGTTATGCCTGCTAAAGCAAAAAAATTGCCCACACAAAAAAAAGTCAAAAACTTCATTATAATTATAAAAGCTTATTAAGTGAACTTTACAGCTCCTCAAACATTCATCAAAGTTTACTCATATGTGACCCAAGACATTTGATTGCCAAGCATCATATAGCTTCTTATTTTCTCGTCTCTTTCGTCTTCTATTGCAACATTCGGTGTCAAAATTATGAAACATTAACCTATGTCATAATATCTATGAGTTCAGTGACTTTTTCTAACGACAGCAACAAAGAAATAAGAAAATAATTTGTTTGCTCAAAAAAATGAAGTGAAATATGGATCATAGAGCACTTCTAACAGTTAATCTATTAAAATTTCAAGGTGTGTCTAATGCTACATTATCATAAGTATAATTTTTTATGAGTCTAACATATTTGTTACAATAGATGCTATGAGAAGAAGAAGAGAAGAGAAATAAGAACAAGCAAGTGACGAAAGGCTTTCATTAGATGATTTAAAAGTTATGTTTTATATGGGATGGATGGATGTAGATAGATGGATAGACAGATTATGTTAAAAATACATTTCATGTTGTTGCACATTTATCATTCTTGTTTCTTGTTAAGTGCATGATTATCTTTTATGCTCAGCATATTTAGTTTCAGAAAAGGTTATACTTAATTTACAATTTTATCCAGTTTTGCTGTGATTGTTATGGATCATGATTTTCTTTTATCGAGATATTTTCTAGTTAAAATGTTTTCTTTTCAAAAAGGTCTCAAATTACATCACAAGTATTTTATGCAATTACATGCTGTATATACAATGATCTTGAAAATTGATTTTTTTTTTCTGTACATTTGTATGCTTTAAAATGTTAGGATTCTTATGAAAGTTTTGCCAGATTCTTTTCGAGCTTGAGTTTCTCTAAATTTAAGACTTTTTAATTTTATATTAATTTAGAGTCATTGACCAGTGGTTTAGACAACTGAGGTATATACTCCTCAACGGAATCAATCATTTCATCATGATCATTTTAAATGACCTTTGGCTGATTGATGTAACTTTAAAAGTTAAAAAAAATATTTGGGAGTGTCTGAAGAAGCAGTTTTTACTTCTTTTTCTTCTATTCTTTAACATTTAAGGTAGAAAAACTGATATTTGTGTCCATAAACTTCAAGTATTGAAAATAGCTTGCATTACTTTAGTTACCATAAATCTAAAACAAAATCAACTCTAATTAGGAAAAAGCAAACAGTTTAACCTCGAATTTAAAAAAGCTCAAGCTCAATACTAGAATATTACTCGAGAAGGCTGACAAAAGATCCATAAAAATACCAATAAGGAGGAATTTTTTACATACATTAAATCTTAAAGTAGTTAATTCATCTTAAAATTACGGGGAATTTATAACAAAAACAAAAGAATTTCAATTTTTTTACAATGTCACATACAAAAAAATATTTTTGGTTATTTTATAGGATAGACAACAAAAACATATGCAAATTTATTTATGGTAGACTAATCTGACTCACCTTGATGATTCTGTTTCAACACTGGAGTGGGCTTTACCTCGCCAAATTCGTTATTTTCTGGAAAGAGCAAAGAAAAGAAACAAATTAAAATTTTTACACTTTGTTAAATAATCTCGGTACAACAAAAAATGCTTTTCGTCAACAACCAGCTGCCTTTTTGTAATGCCACAAAATTGCTTGCCATATAAACCGTTTTGTTCCATTCAACGCCTCAATTGAAGAAAAAAAATCAACTTTAGTGCCATACAATGTAAAAAATATTTCACACGAACTTTAAATTGGCAGTGCACTAAAGTCATAAATCTCCTCTTTTTTGTTCAGCTTAACATCTCTTTAAGTTTGAGAGATGAAAATAAAATCCCAGCCGATTACGACACCATTGACCATTATTATGTGATTATTTAATTGTTACTTCATGTGATCTTTTTCTTCTATTTTTATGTTGTCGGTGTCTCATTATCATTACACTAAAGTGCCATTTTTGTGGTATAAAGAAAGCATTCCGGCAGTTACATAGCTTGAAATTCAATATTTATAGTATAAGAGAGCTTATTGGTTATGTTAAGCAGCGGCTCATTTGTCGAAATGCTAATGCCATTACTATTTCAATTATAACTTAAGCGAGCTGCTAAAGTATCGTGGAAATTGAAGAAGTAAGGAAAGTTCAGAGTTTTGAGCGCATTAGAAATAAATTTTCGATCTTTGAGCGAAAAATTTGACGGTTTGACCAAATTGAGAGAATCAATTTTATTTGAACACATTTAATTTGCTGACGACTATTAAATTTAAAGAAAAATAGGATAAAATTGAATATGTCTTGTACAGCCTTTCGTTAACAGACAGACAAAAAAATTACAAAAGTGACATAAACACGTTGTAAAAAATGCCAGGCACTAATTCGTTTATGGACAAATGACATAATACAACTTCACTGTAATTAATTAGTAACTAGCGACAGTTTTCTATTTTCTTTTATTATGTCTCGTTAAGTTTTTCACAAAAAAATGCAAACCTCTTTCCGGTTTAATGCGCATATATAATTTTATTTTGTTATGACAATCGAATGCATTGAGCAAAGTAAGTATAAAATTGTTGTGAAATTGATTAACAAAAGATGGGAAAGAGCCTGATAAAATGCGATTGTTTAGTCAACAAGTTGCTCTTCAGCTTTTAAGAATGGCGTGAGAATATTCTAATGACAGAAAAGTGATGGTCATGTGATTGTTCTATGCTCTTAAGTTCTTAACTTTCTTGCTGCTCATCTTGATTGCTATGAGAGTACTTAGCATGCTTGACATGAGAACATTTTAGTAAGATGAATAGACAAATTTACGTAATTGAAAGCTATTCTACCAGCTAGTTAAGTTATTGAAATGTTTATGTTTAAGTGTAAATTTATGGGATGGAATTAAGTGGACTATAAGTTGATGGATTCGCTTGTGTAGCACATTTTCAATTTTTTTGGAGTATCCAATTTTTAAAGCAGATTTTGATGAGTTTTTTTAAAATTTGACTGAGTGATCCAAAAAGCACTAATGTGAACTTTTTGATGCCCCAAAATCCCATCTGCTGCAAATTAATAATTTTTCACTAATTCACAAAATTTTAACCACAACAAACAAAATTTTTCATCCAAAAATCTACAAAATGTTCACTTAAACACAACATTAAGTTGCTCATTAAATCCAACAAAAAAGCCTTACTTTGAAAAACAACAAATTACCTTATCGAAAAACATCTTATTTCCCTCATTCAATTAACAGCTGTTCCATTTTTCACTCGCACTTTATGTCTTAAAACACAAAAAATTAACCCGGATTTATTCTCATGCATCAACATCTTTTACAATCACTACATCCTTATCGTATTATAATTCATCAACGTGCACTTTCATAAGTGCTACTACATAGTACTAACAGCGATGCGCAATGGGAAATGGCACACACAATGTAATGTGAACGCAAAATGTAATTTTTTTTTTCATTTTACCTTGCGCTCATTTAATATTCGATCCATGCGATGGAATGCAACGAGAAGAAGAGGAATGAAAAACTGAATCGTGCACGCGTAGAAAAAGTGCAATTTTGCAAATGAATGTAGCTTCATCGTAGCTGGCTTATGAATGAATGAAAGAATTCAAAGACGGTAGAGCTCAAGTTGAAATGAATCAATCATCATTATATTATGCTTAACATGAAAATGATCTGTCTATGATTTGCAAAGTTTTCATTAAATCATGAATATTCAATTTACTAATGGAAGTTGAAATGGAAATGAGAAGGAAATATTGAAATTGAAATGGTAATTTGGAGGTCCGGTAATTGATAATTTTTGTTTTTCTTCATTCTCATTTTTTTTTTCGAAGGCTGACTCTTGGTATCGGTTTTCAAAAAAAGATTATAATTTTCCAAACCATTGCAAGACATTTTAGAGATACAGACTAAGATAAGTCTTGGAATTTTTATCCTTATTGTTTAAAACGACCTCAATCTTTAGGTAAATCAACAACCATACTTAAAGTAAAAGTAAACGTCAATTTCCAGCAATAAAGTCTTTATCAGATTTTTCATAAATTAATACATCACTAAATAAACAACAATACAATGCACATTACATCTTCTATCTCTTCTAAGCCATATTAATGAAGACTGCATTTGAAATTCAAATAATCCGAATTCATATTTTCATATAAAAAGTGTAAAGATTTAATTAAAAAATTATGTAAGTAGGAAATTTATCTTCTTTTATTACAAGAAATCCATTTCTTTTGTGCATTTTTCTCAATTTACATCTCTATTGTTTCCATCTTCCTATATATGAGTCGCAATAAGAAAAAAATTAATTAATTTGACTTATGAAAGTCAATAAAGAAACGTACTTAATCCCTTCATTTAATTTTCTTTTTTGTATGTCAAACGCACAGCAGCCACAGTAACGATAAGTAACAAATAACATTAATTGGACATTACGATGTATGCTACACGAAAGAAAAACAGCTGAAGAAGAAGATTACGATGATGATAGGTAGACAGGTAGGAAGTGTATTAGGTTTAAGTAGTCTTTCAGAAGTTATTTTCCCATAATCATCATGTAGCCACGACTTAAAACGGTTTAGAGATTATATCATCTCCCTGGTACATCAGTGCTTCCCATCATCAACAGATTCGTTGAGCAAAATTAAAAACATGGAAAATTGAGAATAAAAAGTCTCTCGCGAACGCAAAATTAATCGACGATTATTGGTATCGCATGGAGAGTAAAGTAAAAGAACGATAGCAAAGAAATAAAAATTTGAAGTAATGAGCTTCAAAAGATTGTTGTTGTAATGTTTTTGGAACAGCGGCTTATTGTTTCATGAATGCCTTTTCAATTAGTCTAATTTTCATTCACATTTGGACATTTGCAAGCTTGTGATCTAGTTCACTTCTTTCTCTAGTACCATGGATGTAAATTAAGTGGGTATAAAATTATATTTTCCATTTGAGTCATTTAAATGAGCTTCTGTTAAAGTTAAGGTCGTTAAATGTAACTTTGAAATGATATAATTGCAGTAATGCGATGAAATTTGTTTATTTTAATACGAGTTAAATTTAGGCATCGAATTGGAGCAAATTATGGGCTTCCTACACTCTCTGTGGGCGATGATGATTTTTTAATATTGAAGAATTTTCAAGGTCAGATGGCTTTTCGAAAGTAATTATGATGATCAAAAATTATGTTTTGAAGTATTTTTTTTTTGAATATTTGATTCAAGTTTTTCAAACTTCCGTTTCTTCTTTTAATATGTTTGCCTCATTTAATAGAAAAAAAAGCTGAAATGCCAAACTGAATTAAAAAGTATATTCGTACAAAACTGCAAATGGTCTTTTTTTGTCTCGAAAAACTGGAAATTTATGTTTTTCTCTTTTTTTTTCATTTGATATTATGAAATTTAGGCCACACTACTTTGCATATCGATATGCCTCAATTTCATTTGAAAACTCTTAACATTGCGTGATTGTAATGTGAGTCGAAAAGAATCTTAAGAAAATAGTGTTACTTCAAATGTTCCATGCATGTATGTTTATTATATCGCGCGAAAAAGAAAAACTATCAATGACGGATTAAGGGAAACATGAAAAGAAGCGTGGCAATGGCAATAAAGAACTAATCGAGGCAATTTGTTAGATCTTTATGTGATTTAATGCATGAATATCGAGTCTATCCAGTACTGCCCCGACTGAATAGTAATTGAATATGTGGATTTTTAATTTATTTTCTTGCGGCAAGTCCAGTCTTTGAATTTAATCTTTACTGTTGCTGATGCTGAACTCTTAAAAGAAAGGAGTTCATGATGTGGATGCTTATATAAAAGCATGCAGTTTTTGTGCAAATTAACTATTGACTTTTCATATTTACCGCACACACATGCATGAATTGCCTCACGATATAAATAAATTTATTCAAATCAAATGCATGGCTTGCAAATGACTTTATGGATGTTTTTTCATAATCAACCTTCAGGGAGCTAATGATTATTATTATTATGTGAAGATTCATATCATTTATGATTGCACATATTGCATAGAAAAATCATAAATAGCAGCGCACCTATAGAGATGAATGGATGGGTTGCCATAAACAGCAGATTCCGCAATCAATTTTAATATTTAAGAGGAAGCACAGTTCATTCAGTTTCACTTTTAAGAGTAATCAAAGAAATCCATTTGATCCTGGTAGGAATCTTTCATAAATGACGATCACACAGGAATTAATAACTTCAGATTTTTTTCCCCTGTGATTTCATCTTTCACTAATTTGTCGTACATCGATATATAAAAGAAAAGTGGTACTCACTTTTGTATACCAATCTACAATGACACTTGTATACTTCACACTCGAGTGTTTGACATACTTTTTAATTTAAAGTTTATTTTATTACCTTATGCTGGACATCGTCCGCACATTCTTTTCTCGCTTTGCTCGTTTTTCGGTAATTTCGTTTTTGATCCGCCAGAGAAAATTAAATTTAATAACTGAGCATTAAAAATGAGGACAAATGAAAGTGTTCTGAAAAA